GGCAAGCATTGAACTATTGGGGCAGTTCTATAGAACCAAGTGGGCCATCCTGAAATCATTCCTCTTGTCTGTCCATTTTCTATCCGTTTTTATAACTAAGAAGTCAGTGAGAAAGTGTGGAAGGATTAATAAATGATGGCTGGGAACTGGGTATCTGTTTGTCAAACGCTGTTTTTTTCCCCCTTAGATTTTATTTATTTTTTAGACAGAGGGGAAGGGAGGGAGAAAGAGAGGGAGATAAACATCAATGTGTGGTTGCCTCTCGCAGGCCCCCTACTGGGCATCTGGCCAGTAACCCGAGCATGCGCCATGACAGGGAATTGAACTGGCGACATTTCATTTCATAGGCCAGAGCTCAATCCACTGAGCCACACCTGCCAGGGCCAAACAAGTGCTTTTAAAGCCTCACTTGGTGCCTCCCAAACTCAATTACTCAGGACATATGAGGGTATGGGGTGAGAAAACAGGATATGCGTGAATATGTGGCAAACATCTTAGAGAACTTTCTTAAACAATGTAGAGGCAAAAGGAGCCAGAAAGAAAAGATTAAAATCCCAGACCAGGGTGCATGTCTCACCCACCTGCATTCTCTCAGGCAGTGGGTTACTCACCGACATTGTCCTAGGCCAGAATTGCTGGAGACACCTGGACCAGCTCCTCCCCTCTTCCTGTTCTGCCTCAGCACCTCCCATGCTGAGATCCAGGCTGCCCTCAATACCTGCTTTTGCCACCTCACAGCTGCCCAGAGCAGGGTCTGCCACATCATTTGTTCCTGTGACTGGCCTGAGAACATAAGTCAGATTCTATCATCTCCTACTCAAAACCCTTTAAGGTTTCCATCCCAGTCAGAGAGCCCTGGGTTGGGTACCCCGGACCCCCAGTCTCCCGGTGACTCTTCAGCCACATGGCTCTCCTTCCCACCTGTCACATACCTCTGAACAAGCGCTTTGGCTGCCTGCCCCTGCTCTTCCCACAGCCACCTCCTCCTCCCTACCCTGTGCCCAGAACCAGCATCTCCACTCTGCCCGGGGTTTCTTCCTGCGACAGTCCAGTGCAGGGGTCTCTGCTGCCCCTGCTCCAAGTCTCCGAGGTGGCCCTGTTCCATGAAGACGTGCCTGTCCCTGCGTGCCCCTCCATCCTCAGGACGGGCAGGTAAGAGGGCTAAGGAGGGGTTCGTCCCCGTCCCGCTGTCCCCACCACAGCCCATAGGTGGACCTGACCCCTAGGACCACGCCTGGCCCACTGAGCAGTCACCTCCTCCTGCTAAGCCGTCCCCTCCAAGAAGAACGCATCATCTGGGAAAAGCTCCCACCCTTTGGTCTTCAGCTGGACCCAGGTTTGTGCCCCAAGAACGTCCTGGCCCCTGAGCCCTGCCTTTTGTGGGAGCAAACCAAACTCTGCTGGCTGCAGAATGCTGCCTCGGGCCCAAGGTCACAGGCTGTGCGTGTCTCCTCTCTTGGGAGGAGGCCAGGCCCTCCCTGCCAGGTCCCCAGGGGCAGAGGCGATGCCCCTGCAGCCCTACTGCCTTAAGGAATGCTAGAATTTTTCAACTGCCAGAAGTTAAAACATTTTCCTGCTCTCTCTGCGGATAAGTAACGAGCTTTCAACGAGTAGTTGTTCTGAGTACTCTTTGCTGTTGCTCAGGTACCTGCAGAGTTTGTAGATTGGGGCTCAGAGGGGACACCAGGCAGTGCTCCGTCCCCGGCAGTGGCTGTCGGACACTTGTCTGGGTTCGCTCAGGGGCTCCTAGGGGGCGTCCTGGCCACCCCAGAACAGGGCGGCCAACCACCTCTGGTGGACATGGAGAAGTAGCTCGGGTGCAGCTTCTGGTTCAGTGGAAGCGGCCTCACGATTCTCAGACACCAGGCCTGCTTGTGTCCACCACAAGGCCCAAGGTGTCCTGAGGGCACGCTGGCCACCCCGTGGGCCTGTGGGGCACATGGACGGGAGACCCTGGAGGCCTCAGAGGAGCCTGGGAACTGACGGCCCAACAGTCGGGCCCTGAGGGGTCGTGGAGGAGGGGACAGGCAGGGAGTCCTGATGGGGGAAGGGGCAGCTTACAGAGGTCTGGGAAAAGAACATTCCAGAAAAGGAAGCAGAAAACTTTGAGGCCTGAGTGAGTGCAGGGGGCAGAGGGCTGCAATGGGGGAGGTGGAGGGACAAGAAGCTTGCAGGTTAGGGGCTCAGGTTGTATTCCTGGCTGCCGGAATGGGTGGTATGGGTGGCGGGGCGCACAGGGCAGGGACCCCACTTGGAAACCCAGGGGACGGCCAGCCATAGTAGGAGAGGCCAGTGCAGATATAGGTAATAGGGTCCAGAGGACCGGCCACCGGGCTGAAGAAGGGCTGGGATGGAGGGTCCGGCCACTTTGCCCTCTGCCGCCAGTGCGAGGCTGCAGTCTGCCCAGGTGGGAGACAGGGCAGCGGGCTTGGCCAGGGAGGAAGTCCACAGCTCTGGCCGGGACTTGCTGAGTGGGACAGGGATACCACACGGCAGGGTGTCCAGCAGACTTTGAGTCAGACTCTGAACTCAGGCCTTGACTGCCCATTGTGGAGCCTGCAAATAAGGGCTGTGAGCCGCTGCCTTGTGATGTAGACCAGGGATCCCAGGATGGTGGGCTGTCACGGGGGCCAGGGCAGACAGAGTGAAGGGTGGCCCAGGGTCGAGCACTCCAACACCATAAGGGTAAGGACAGGCCACTCACAGGGCGACATTCTCAGGAGGAGCCGGACAGCGGTGTGTGTCCACAGCAGGGTGGCAAGGAGGCCACAGGCCCGGCCTGCTCAGACGCACTGCTGCTGAGAGTTTGTGACCATGGCCCAGGGTTTTCAGATTCCACGGTCCAGGCCCATTGCCCCTGTGGCAGGTGAGTTCACCAAAAACCTGGGCCCAGGACGGAAGCAAACACAGCACTGTGGGGCGGAGCTTGACGCAGTCCTGTCTGGTGCACTGGCCAGCATGAACTCACCATCGGGAAAGTGCACAGCACATGACAGAGCCACCACCTGGTGGGGACGGCTGGCAGGCCACCAGCAGGTGCCCATGCTCCCCAAAGAACATTGGTGAGTCCATCACAGCAGGGACCGCGACCCACCTGGTCTGCGTGGTAAAGGACTGATGGAACAAGAGGAGTGGGACAAATATGGACAAGGTTCCGTGGGAAGGGTGGCCGGCCCGAAGCAGAACCCAGCAGGGCGTGTGGGGAGCCCAAGTCACTGAATGAACCAGCAGTGGGTGTGCAGGTGTGCAGGTGTGCTGTGTGTGTGCAGGTGGGCTGCCTATGCCAGACTGTGCCATGTCAGGAGCACTGGGTGTGGGCGTGCCGAGTGTGTCGGGTGTGTCCTGAGAAGGACACAGTTGGAACAGTGAGCACAGATGTATGGGTAGCTGATAATCAGAAGCAAACTGTTGTAATTTCGTGGAACCAGGTGACATTGGCTTTAGGACAAACAGCATGGCTGGCGACAGAGTGGCCACTCCATGAGCACAGGACAACTCCTCAGGAAGGCTTGTTGACATTGAATGTGCATGTACCACAAACACAACTGGGAGGTCTAGGAAGCAAACACTGGCAGAACTACAAGAACAAATGATCAAATCCATAACCACGGAAGGCAACCGTGACATATGTCTCTTACGGGATAAGGTGCGCTTGAAATGAGCCAGTTCATGAGGGACCGGGGGGCACAGTTAGCAAGCATGGTTCAGTGGACGTGCAAAACCCTGTAGCCCAAGCTAGAGAATTCATTATGTCAAGAGCACGTGGGATATTTACCAACAGAGGAGATGTTACAAGGTTATAAAACCAAATCCCAACAAAATGACAAAATCCTCTGTGGATAGGGTTCCCTGACCAAATTCAATGACAGTAAATCAAGAGCCGGTCACCCAGCATTTGGACATGTGGAGCCATGAAGTGCTGTTTGGCTGGTGCTTCAAAGGAGGAGTCAGAAGGGAATGTGAAACCCTCAGAGCCCATCCCTGGCTGGTGTGGTTCTGTGGGTTGAGTGCTGGCCTGTGAACTGAAAGGACCACGGTTTGATTCCCATTTGAGGCACATGCCTGGGTTGTGGGCCAGGTCCCCGGTTGGGGACGTGCGAGCGGCAACCGATCAATGTTTCTCTGGCATATGGATGCTCCCTCTCTCTTTTTCTCACAAAAAACAGCAACCAGGTAGAGCTCAACACTGAAGAAACCCTTTGTGCCCTGGCCGGTGTAGCTCAGTGGATTGCGCACTGGCCTTCGAACCAAAGGGTGGCGGTTCGATTCCCAGTCAGGGCACATGTCTGGGTTGCAGTCCAGTTCCCAGCAGGGGACGCAGGAGAGGCAACCATACATTGATGTTTCTCTCCCTCTCTCCTTCCCTTCCCCTCTAAAGATAAATAAATAAAATCTTAAAAAAAAAAAAAGGAAAGAAAGAAATCCTTTGTGTGAAGGTTTTTGGGGTACAGCCAGGCTGGTCCGTCAGCCCCCCTGCAACTCAAGAAGTTTTTAGAAAAGGCTAGAGTAAACCCTAAGCGATTGTGGATTAAAAACTAGAAAGAAAAGCCCTAAACTGGTTCTTTGGAAGACGCATGGTGGGGTGGCCTCCCAGAAGCCCCACCACTGGGACTCGCGCCGTCACCCGGGCAACGGTGACCGCCTCCCTCCGTAGGCAATACCCAAACCGCCCCCCAGAGGTACTTGAGGCAGCTATGAAAGGAGAAATGGCGTCTCAGCCTGTAAGCAGTATTGGCAGAAATCTGGCCCTGGCGGCCCGAGCTGGGAGGACCCCTGAGCCTAGCAGCTCTGAGGCGCTAAGGTGCAGAGAGGGGCTCATCCAGTCGCAGCACACACCCATCCCTGTCCCCACCCAGCGCTCCCCGAGAACCCCCAGACCCTGCCGAAAACACAGAGCCGCTCCACTCGTCCCCCCGTTTGTTCATGACGTGTGTTTGGCACGGACCGTGAGGGGCTAGATGCAGCCCACGAGGACACAGAGGGACGGAGATGTGCCTGACCTCACAGTTGAAAGGAGGAATCGGCACCAGGAGTAGTCAGATTATTCTGGCAGTGAGTGGGTCAGCGAGGGCGCCTTCAGCTTCGTGCACCGGAATGTCTGGCCCCAGGTGACTTCAGTGCGGGTGGTTATCATCTCCCCAAGGGGCTGTCCAGGGCCAGGGGGCTCAGAGCGGATGGACCGGTCCTGTGAGCAGGGGCTGCCTTGGCATCAGCGCCCCTGGCGGTCTGGTGACCTCTTTCCCCAGGGTCTCACTTCTGCTCCAGTTTCCAACATCACATATGGACCCGGGCCAAGGGCAAAGAGCGATGGCTAATTCCGGCCACCCACCCTTCTTTAGTAAACTGCCCTGGGGCCCACGTGCCTCCTCAGCAGGCACTTCTCGGGCCCAGTGAGCTGGAGCCGGGCGGGCCGTGCGAGGAAAAGAGGGACGAACCCGCCGCGGCCCCGCCGGGGCTCGTTCCCGGGAGCGCCTACGTCCGACCCACTGCGCGGGGCACCAGGAAGGACGAGGCGCACGTGCCAGCCCCAGCGTCAGTCGCCGAGGCGGAAAGACGCCGGCGCTGACAAGCACAGCGGGGTTCGCAACAGGCAGTCCGGGACCGAAGTCCGAGTCCAGAATGGACCTTCTCTGCGGATGAAGAGGTCGTCAGAAACGGCAGCAGGACGACGTGGCCCGGCGGCGAGCCGGACTGACGTCCTCCCGGGTAGCTCCGCGGGGAGCGGGTGGCGGGCGCTGTCAAGGCGAAGACTTTTTGAGCTGGGGCGGCAGCCGCCCGGGGCCGTCCAGGCCCCTCGGGGAACTACTCCGCTTCCCGCGGCATCCCCCTCTCGGCCCCGGGCCGCCGCGGCCCGCCCAGGCAGCCCTCTGTCCCTCTCCCCCCGGAGGTCCAGACGTCCGAAGCTACTGTGCCCCGCCGGGCTCGTGATCTCCACGGATACCCCAGGGGAGGGCCGCCCGCCGGCGCTCGGGTCCCCACCCCACCCGGCACCTGGGCCCGGAAGCCTCCGCCCGCAGCTGGAGCGAACAAGGGCGGGGCCCTGAGAGCCGCCGGGCGATTGGCAGGACTTGAGTGACGTCACGGGGAGGTGCGGGGGTGGGGTGGGGCGGGAACGCAGGGCGGCGGGTATAAAAGCCCGCGCGGGCCGCTGCGGGGTTCCTGCAGCGGTTGGGTCGGGGCTCCTCCCGCAGGTGTCCCGGGGTCACTGTTCCCCGACCAGTTCTTTCCTACCCTGCGCTCCGCCTCCGCGTTGTCCTGCCTTCGCATCCTCTGCGGACATTGGGTCCGCGCACGCGCTGTCGCCGCGGCCTGAAACTGCGCCCTGCGGCCCGGCAGCTCGCCTCAGGGGTCCCCTATAGGGTGCGGCAGTGCCGGCGCACCGCACCCTCAGCCACCTCGGGAGGGCAGGACTCCAGCATCGCACCCGGCTCCACACGAGTGGGCAGATTCCCCGGACCCCGAGCCCAAGGTCTACCCCTTGGATTTCCTGCCCCACACGGGGCAGCCGCTGACGACTGAGTACCCTGGACCCCTACCCCCGCCTACCGGGAGGAGGCCACGCGGAACGCCGCTCATGGCAGCGTGGGCCCTGGCTCGCGGGAGCCTGCAAACCAAACTCTGCTGCTTGGATCTCCCGCTTCACACCAGGCAGCCACCGGTCCGTGTTCCCGGCTTCCAGGTCCCCACCCACATGCTCACAGGGTGTCCAGCCCCAAGGTGTCCCTCCACGTTCTCTGAGTCATCACCTGCCTGTGGCCTTCGGGCGAGGTGGCTGGAAGAGGCTGCTATGTGGTAGAGGAGAAATACCTCATACACGTCCTCTGTCACCCCATTATCAAGGTTTCCCCCAAGAAATCACCCCAGAAGGAACAGGTAGTGAGGTGAGCCTCCTGGCCACCTTGGTCCCAGCCATGTCCCTGGCTTCCAGGTGGTGCCCCACCACCAGAGAGGGAAGAGCCAGCCTCAGTCTCTCCGGCAAACAGGTGAAACGAGGCAGGAAGAAAGAACAAGCTGAAGCCCAACGGCACCAGGCCAGGAGGAAGCCGCCCTCCAGGTCAGGGGAGGGTTGAGAAGGGGGAGGTTGCCGCTTCTGTCAGAGGTGGGTCCTGGCAGCCAGTGGTTGGTGGCTGAGTGTTAAGGCCTGGCGGGTACTGAGCTGCAGGTGGGCCCTCGGCTGAGGACCAACCTGGGGACATGGTGGCGTGTTATGCGGGGTGCTTTTTTTCCCGGGGATTTCTCTTGCTCATAGAGAGGAAAACATGCCATTCTTTCAAGCGGGACCAGGTCTCTGGAAAGGATCGGGATTGGGGGGTGGCGGGCAGGAGCAGGTTTTGAAGGATACCCAGGCCAGAGCGCAGGCTGAGGACAAAGCTCCCCTCTTCAGGTGCCACACCCCTCCCAGCTGTCTTTGTTCCTTCAGTGCAAGTGTGGCCGGAGTAAGGGACAAACACCTGGGCCAGCATGTGAAGCAACTTGTCCCCTTTTGTGGTGGACAGATAGCTATTTAACCACTCTAACACCCTCTGCTTAGGTAAGCCACAGCTCCCCAATCTGTAACCACTTTTGCACGTTTTTGCAAATACACAATCATGTTGGGGACCTCTTGCATGACTTGTGACTTCCAGCCTAGCTCTCTGCTGGCTTCGGTCAGGTCTCTGAGCCAGCTTCTCGAGGAGCCTCAGCAGCAGGTGGCCCGAACACGGCAGCCCTGCGTGTCAGCCTCCATGGGCAGTGCTGGGAGCCACGCGAGCCCTCATTGGCCCTCCACTCCCAAAGCAGTGCCTTAGGACCCTGCTGGAGCTCCAGTGCCCACCCACCCCGGTCTCCCTGGGTTTCCTGGAGCCCCTGCTGGCTCTGCCGGAGTTGGCAGGCCCCTCACAAACTGTCACGGAGCAGCATGTTCACTCCCAGCCTCTTCCCAGGACTAGACCCATGTGCTTGCAAAGATGTCCCATCATGTTTATCTATGTGTTGAAATGACAGGCAGTTCCAGGGTTCTCCTTGGTAGGGTGAGACACATGCTGCTATGATGCCCATGAGCCACTCTGCTGCAGAGTGAGCGAAGGCCACCCGTCAGCCAACAACTGTGACAAACGGCACTCCTAGCCCCCAGCGGCGGTGGAGGAAATGACACACTAAATTAATAAAGTAGACTTCAAAGCATACATTTTTATTAAAGGATAATATTGTGGTAACCAAGTCATGCGGAAGCCTACGTACAGCAGCTGGGAAGGACCAATGGGGCAGGCCCGGTGGCTTCATAGCATCACATGTGCAAGGCGGTCTTCACTCACATGCCTGCTGCTCACATCTAAGCCCCTGACTTGTTACTTCTCGTGTGGAACTGTCACACAACAAGTTAACCCTCATCTTGACTTCTTAGAGTACAGTATTATGGGCTTAGAGACATTTTTATCTACAGAATTGGGAATGTTTTTTAATGTAGAATGTCAGTATTTGTGCACCAAGCATATACTTATTTTTTTATTTAAACTATTCCAAATACCAGCCATGGACTCCGGGACCCACCTGCTCCTCCACCTGGGTGGGAGGAGCCAAGTCCCCTCACAAGGTGTCTCCCACCTCCAGGGCCACCCTGCCTTCTCAGGGACCCTGGCTGCCTACAGCCCGTACTTCGGCCCTACCTCTCCATGGACTCTTTGTGGAAACATCTGTCAACGTGCTCTAGTCCCTCTTTGGTTCCGTGTCCTTCTGCTGCCACCATGGTTAGTCTCCTCTGCTCTACACCCAAACGTCATGGAAGCCGTGTCACCTCATCATGTGCTGTGGGACACGTGTCCCTGCCGGCTCTGCACTGAGTTCTCACAGCCCAGCCCAGCCCAGCCCGTCTCCTGGGCTCAGCCGCATGGCCATTGCCAGGGTCAGGTCCACGAATACAATGGCAGGTGTGCTGTGACCTAGAGTGTCAGGTCAACACTCTGTACACCCTGAACTCACACAGTACTGCATGTCAAATATTTCCCAACTTAAAAAACATCCAGTTCTGTGAACCCGGAGAGAAGACCTGATGTCTGAAGGATCGAATTGCAGAATCCTGTTGGCACAAGTGTGTTCGAGTAACTTCAGGACCCATTTTATTGGCCACTTAGGAAGCTAAGCATTTTATTTACAAACGTCTGAAATTTGAAAAAAAGGTTAAATAATATAGTTTCCCAAAGCTGCACGTGCTTATTTCAAGTTTAGTTTTTGTGCTTGAAATAAAAAAAAACTTTTAGACTACTGGGCAGGAGTGCTACTGTTCTGATGACCTGTGGTTTGAGGAGCTGGTCAGTCTCAGCTGGTGCCATCCCTGTGTTCCTTGGGGACGCTTAAAAAATTATAGACCAGCTGTCTTTTTCTGGTCACACCAACATTGTGCTCCAAATGTCCCCTGACACGGGGCTCCATCTTCACCCTTCTCACTGTCACACACTTCTGATATTGGCGGGTACACGCCATGTGGTCTGTTCACCCGCAGCAAGAAGGCTGTAAGCTCTTCTGGTGATTCTGAGGAATTGCGCCTGTGGCCACGATCAAGTGCAAGGAAGCTGGTGTGTCCAGGACAGGCCGCCACATGGCCCGGGGCTGCACAGAGTCCTAGTGGTTCCCACTCTGGGGAGGCAACTTCACTTGTGTTGCCTGAAGGGTTTTGTTCCAGCACTAAATTTTTTTTTTTACTGTTTCACAAGTGAGCATGAACTGTGAAACATAAGAGATGGTTTAATGTGAACATCTAACTAATGAAATCTAATTTCTTTTCTATTTAAAAACAAGGACCAGTTATGTTTGAAAGTATAAGAATATGAGATCAACCAGACAATCGCGGTTCAATTCCCAGTCAGGGCACATTCGTGGGTTGCAGACCAGTTCCCAGCAGGGGCCAGTTTCCAGCAGGGGATGCACCAGACGCAACCATACATTGATATTTCTCTCCCTCTCTCCTTCCCTTCCCCTCTAAAGATAAATAAATAAAATCTTTTAAAAAAGAAGTTTTAAGTAAAAAAAAAAAAAGAATGTGAGATCATTGCCCTGACCCCAGGGCTCAGTTGCTCAGGCCTCCTCCCTCAAAGCGGAGGTCCCAGGTGGATTCCAGCGCGTCCCTGTCAGGGAACCACACACCTGGATTTCCCAGCTTGCTAACCGGCCCCCCCCCCCGCCCGTGGGTGCATGAGAGGCAACCGATAGATGTTTCCTCTCCCTCTTGCTCCCTCCCTTCCTCTCTCTCTAAGAATAAATAAATAAAATCTTTAAAAAAAAGATTGTAAAATGGTTGAAACCAAACTCCAGTGCGGGGGCTTGCCAGGGCCATGCCCCCGCCTCCCGTTCTGCTATTGGAGCTGCTTTTCTTGTAAATTATTTTTCTAAATATTTTATTTATTTTTAAAATCTTTTACTTATTTATCTTTAGAGGGGAAGGGAGAGAAATATCAATGAATGGTTGCCTCTCGTGCGACAACTGCTGGGACCTGGCCTGCAACCCAGGCATGTGTCCTGACTGGGAATCGAACCGCAATCATTTGGTAAATTACTTTTTTTAAAAAAATATTTTATTTATTTATTGAGAGAGAGGAAGGGAAGGAGAAAGAGTGGGAGAGAAACATCAATGTATGGTTGCCTCTCACACATCCCCTGCTGGGAACTGGCCTGCAACCCAGGCATATGCCCTGACTGGGAATCGAACCTCGATACCCTGGTTCGCAGGCCCGCGCTCAATCCACTGAGCTATGCCAGCCAGGAGCCAGTCAGGGCTGGTAAATTACTTTTAAATACCCTCTAACCTCTTCAGATAGGAAACCAGGGAATCCACATGTGGATCTAAAGCAGCTCTTAATCTGGAAATGGGGTCCAACGGCCGCTGGCCTGCAGACGTTTGGCCATATTGCCAGAGGAGACACTCAGGCAAAGGACCCACTAGTGCCACGAGGGGTCCCTGTCACCTGGGATCCCTGCCAGCCGG